TGTGATTGATTGCGTACTTACTTTAGTGTTGTTGTCAAATGTTCATATTTGTTGCTAGGCACTTGTTAAGTTCCATAGTTGATTTTATACTATTGCCTCGTACAGAGCGCTACTTGTGTTTTTTTTTATGGAGTACAGTGAGTGTATCAACGACTGTGATTCGCTCTCAACTTTAGCCAGTCTCTAGCATATCAGGTTCAAGGGTGAGCTATTCATTCAAGATCGTGTTGGATTCTCTCGGTTTCATGATGTCCTATGTTTTCGGACCTATACCATTTTATTGTTTTGTTTTAGATTATTTGATACTCCTAGACTTAATATTTAGAGATTAGATGTCCTTGATGTGATGAATTTCACATTTTAGGTATGACATAGAGTAGACTATAATGAATTTGTGTTCCTTACACTAATGAGATTTAAGCTTCTGCATTATCGTTAGTATTTAGGTTAGTATTTTGTAACCTGAATAATAAAATATGAGTTGGGGTTGAATTCGTTTACCCACCTAGAGTGTTAAGTTTGGCTATCCCTCACGAATCGATTTGGGTCGTGACATATCGTGAGTTGACAAAGTAATGATCTCACTAATTCAAATGATTATATCTTTTAATTTAATTGATGTTTGGTTGATGATTTGATATTGAAATCATAAAATCTTATAATTTATGAGAACGTTCTATCATGTGAAAGTAATTTTAAAGTTACTTCTGTTTGGGCCATGTCGACCTGTGCTTCCAGAAAAAGAAGATTTGTCGTAATATGATGACTAATTGTGATTTAAAAATTCATTAAATTTTCTTGATGGATCGAGAATTTCTGCCTTATTAAAACACATGTTTCAATTTGTAAAAAAGAACCCATAAAGAAATTCTTGAAATTGATTAAATTCTTTTAACATTATTACTAATTAAGTTATTTATTTCTTCTTCTTCTTTTTATTTGAGCTTTTTCCTTTTTGTTAACAGATAATTGATTAGTTGTTTCCAAAAATAGACTTTGTTCTATTAATCAAATACTCTTTTTGAAAAACATGGTCGACTTTCTAATTTCTTCATGTGAAGTACATTCCAATGGTTGAAAAAGAGTTTGTTGTACTCGTAATATAAACAATAGATGTCCACTAAAACGCTTTAACAAAAGATCTCTGATTTAAATTTCGAATATAAAATGACCTTTGATAAAAAATATTTTACTTTAGAATGAAATTTCTTAGCGTGAATTCATATAATTCGACATCTGAAATAGATATCGATCGTGAACTATTAAAACAAATTTATTGATAATAAATCAAGAAAAGATTTGCAAATTATTATGACTTCATGTTGCACCTTATGATTTTTTATTTAATTAATACGTTGAGACATATTTGCCTTTTTGCTTTTGTTTGTCTTTTCACATTACTGTGCCTAATTTTAAAACTTTATTCCTTTTTTCTTGAGATAAATCGTGTTTATTATAGGGGTATTTAAAATAAATTAGTAATTTTTTCTTTAACGTCTCAGTTAATTAACCATCAACAATCAACAATGATAAATTTGCCTAATTATGGTTTGCACATCACACCCTTAGTCGAAAAATATATATGTAAAGTTTTGACTCATATTTGTATAAATTATATGGTCATCTATTTAAGAAATTTGTGAATCATTCTAAAATAAATTTTTAATTATACTTTTATTGAAACTAATCTAGTGGGATATATAAAATAGAAGTGTTAGAATCTATACGATAAAAACCAAGATTAATAAGACTCATGTTTCATTTTATTTCCTATTCACTGATTTTAGATGACCTTATTTGAAGAAATCTGACATTGTAGAATTTTTTTCATTCGATATAATATCTTAACTACTAAAATTAATGATATCCAAAATTAATCTAAAATTAAGGAGCAGTTGCTCAAAAACTAATTGATTGCTCATAAGTTCTCATGGGTCAGAGATATAACATTTTTTTCTTTAATGCTAGAACTCACATAATAATTTCTTTCCCAAAGAGAATAGATGATGAGCACAACTAGTGCACAAATTGGATGTCGGGTTGAATTTACTGGCTCTCCCTTGCCGTCTACGTAACTAAGGTGAGAGAAATAGCTCAACACTATCACTATTCATTTGATAATCTTTTTTCTGATACGGAAATACTTGTTATGTTAAAATCCTACAATTCAATTGTTATGTGAGATTTTATTTGTCTTCAGAGGGTGATCTGGGAAATTTAACGTTTAAGGGAACTGTTGAACGACTTAGTTTGTACTTTTTTTTGTATAAACTTTACTAGTGAGGAACAAAAAGAAATTAAAAAGGATATATGCAGTTGAAGACTCTGATAACGAGTATTTGATTATAATTTATTGTATGGATATTGAACATATCTTACAAGTAAGGAAATACACAGTCACTAATCGAGAGAGATTGTTTGATCTGAATGGAAAGACTACGTTTGTAAACCGCAGTTCTGGGTATTTGAAACAATGTTCTGATGTTGGGTTTGAAAACAAGATATTCTTTCCTATGCTAAATGACGAACACAGTAGCGTATTCTTCTATCTGAAAAAACATAAATATTATTCATATGATTGCTCGACCAATAAAGGGGTTTCCGATGCATATTATCTTCACATTGAAAATACTACCTACTGTGTATGGATTGACCATTATATTTTTTTATTTTTGTGTTTTCTGTAATTATCATTTTGCACCTTTTCTTAGCGGAACATAACATACAATGATTGTTAATATTTTGCCTCTTTTGTTTACGGTCATATATTATAGACTCAACATAACATAAAATGTTTGTTAATATTTGAGCCTTTCTTTACGTTCATATATTACATACTACATAACATACAATGATTGTTAATATTCTGCATCTTTTCGTTAACATTCATATTATACAGACTCAACATCACATACCGTGATTTTTATATATCTATCTAATTGTTTGTCTACTTTTTATTACAACGAATCTTTTTTAATGAAAGTTTTTTATATCCTCCAAAATTTTACAATTTAATTAGCACATAATAAATGGTCAAGATATAATACACATTTATCTTTTTAAAATTATTGTTGTGGATGATGCTTAATTGATTGTTAAAATATATTACCCTATTACTGTATTTACTATTACTACTTATTAATAAGAGTCTACAACATTCCGTCAGTACACATAAGGTGGTCAACATGTGTGCTTGAAGTAAATTTAATTTGAATGAGGTCAATTTAGTCAATTTTCTTATGTTATAGAGCATTGTAGTTGGCTGAAAAGGAACTTCAGTGTAGCTACAATACAATTATTTGTACTTCTTGTCAAAACTGTCCCTATGCGGCTAAGCTTTTCCTATCAATCATGTGTTACATGGTGAAATCAAAGACATCTTCTTCAGACAAGTCATTTTAAGCGGGATCGATATGTCATTCTTATTAAAAAGAGATAATATATAATATTTGTCATTTTATAAAATTAAATATTAATAACACTATAATTTCAATTTATTATTGTGAGTTATTAGTCTTGAATATTTATATATAAACTAAGTGAACAATTCATGTTTATTGATCAAATATAAATTGTCAAAAAAAAAACTTGACTTCAAAAAACAATAAGGATAGAATAGTAAACTCACTTAGTTTATTAATGCACATGAATTTTAAAACAGTGACATATAAATAGGAACAAAGTGAGTATAAATTAATTCTCTATCGGTATCATACAAATAGAGAATTAAGATATATTCTCTTCGTTTCTTTTTATATGACATCTTTACTATAAATAATTGGTCCATAATGTTTGTCATTTCATAAAATCAATGCATAAGTTACAATATTCTTCCTATTTTACTCTTGTGAGCTATTACCTTTCAAAGTATATATTTCAACAACCTAAACAAATTCAGTGAAATATTCATGTTCACTGGTCAAATGAATTAATCAAAATAGATTAATTCATATCCATTGATTGAAAAGTTGACTTCAAAAAAAAATAACACAAGGTACATAGCATAGTAAACTTATTTAATTTCTTTATGCACAGAAAATAAAAAATAGTGACATTAAATAAAAATGTGAGGGAGTATAAATTACAATATTTAATAATTAAGATATTTTTAAAATATATATAAAATTTGGTGGGCTCTTCAAATTTTACTTATGCCATATAAATAAGAACAGAGAAAATAACATATTATTTAAAAATAACGTCGAAATATTATAAATAACAATAATTAACAACTTCAAATATTTTGAAGTGTCACTAGAACCAATGTCGCTAAAGGCTTTAGTACATATACAAATTAAAGAGTGTTAATTGCCGCTAAAAATATACATTTAGCGGTAATTAATTTCATTGCCGCTAGTGATCATTTTTTATGTAGTGTAACGGTAAAAATTGCCCCTAACTATGTGAAATAAACCACTAATTGTTGACACCCAATTTTGACCTCCCCCGATGTAAATTAATTAACGAGCTTCTCAAATTCCAAACTATTTGAAATAATTAGATTTTTAAAGTTTAAAAATATATACAAAATAAAATGGTTTACTTTTATAATTTTTACGAAATATATGATTTACGTAATTTTGTATGCAATTAGCACATTTTAATACATTTCAAAAAATCATCTCAAAAGATTTTAGTAGATAATTTATTAAATCGGTTTATTTAAGTTGTGGTTTTATTTTTGTTTTGAATCACTAGTTTGTAATTAAATTAATGAGTTTATTTTTTGTTTTTGTTTCGTTAAAATTAAGAAGCTCGTTAGTTAATTATACTAACTCATCTCATCTAATTTTTGCCGATTTCAACTCAATTTGGCTGATTTAGTTTCACTTGGCTATGCCAAGACCGAATGTGGGCCTTTGTAATTTTCTTTTAGCACCCAGGTCTTGCCAAATCTCAGACCCAAAGATTGAACTTAAAACCCAGTCGCCCATAGAAAATTTCAACCCAATTTCCCCAAATCACCCCAGCCCATGCCTTTTAAGTTGACCCGGCCCAAACCCTTCTCTTCCTTAGCAGAGAGTCCAAAACAGCCTGCTGTTCCAAGACTTCTCCTAAAAAGTGCCAAACGCAGACAACAACGAGGAAGAATGACACGCGTGAGTAGCAAACGCAAAGGTCCCATTGATGGCGTTACATGGGAGGTATTCACAGCACCAACGACGCTTCATCCGTACGTCCCAACTTCTTCTTCCTCTATCCCATTATGTTCTGGACAGTACTTTAGGCTTCATCTTTTGTGCATTTCCAGCTGCTTGTTTCGTCCCCCTTAGCGCGAGATCTTGCCACATCGACGCCAAGGACGGGAGATCGATCTTAATCGTGCATTCCCCTTTCCCTTTTCAGAATAGAGTGAGAATTTCAGAAAAAGGTTGCTTATCCGATTTAGTGAAGTTTTTTTTTTTTTTTGAGAATTTGAATTGGAAGAGAACCCCTCACTCATCAGTTCATACTCACCTTCTTTCAGAGTTAGATACGAAAAAAAAAGGGGAAAATTTTTTCTTTGAAAGAATCACAAATATTAATAAAATTTTTCCGAAACAATGAGCTAAAAATTTGAGTGAAATATTGAGAAAATCTTGAGAGTCTAGCTAAGTGTTAAAAAGAGGAAGCCATTTAAATCCGAAGTTCTTGGAGATATTCATTTAATCTCAGTTTGGTTCACTCTATTTCATTCATCCAAGTCTTCTCGGAGTCATTCTTTGGGTGCGGAAGTCGGTACTTTTCAGGCTCGCTATCGTCCTTGTTCTTCTGCCCCTCTGAAGGTAATCTTGCATTTCCCTTTAAGTATCCCTTGTTCTTAATATGTTGTTCATGAGAGTGTAGAGTCGTCTACATGATAGAGTGGGTGATCTATTTTTTTTTTGCCATCTTTGAACTCGTCGCTGGCTATTGTGTAGTAATAGAATCTGTTTGATAAGGCTATTATCGTTGTTTATTTTCGTTTTCAAAACGTTTTGGTGTCTGTCTAGCTTACATTGTTGTTTTGTGTTTCTTCGAGCTCATGGCTATTATGTTGGTCTTAAGATTGAACTTTTAATTTGTTAAACATCATGCTTCTAGTCCATCTCTATTTAGCAAAAATATTCTCTTTTTTTGCTATATATCCTTAAGCGTCAAAGAAGTCGTTTTATCCTCTCTCTATGAGTCCTATTTTATGGATTTCTGCCTTGCTCCGTGTGTGTGTTTAGCCATCACTATTTCGTTCTAAAAGGGGATTGAAACCTCCAACAGGCTGTTGTTTGGATGTCAACTCGTTCAATTTTTTTTCCTTATTCCGAAAATGAATCTCAAATGTGATGTAGGTTTAGTATGTCTGACATGTTCAGTTTATTGAATATGTTAATATTTTCCTCTAAATGACTCGGCTAATTGTTGTGTTCAAAGTGCATGCCTCTTAACATAATGAACTAGCATCACCAAGCTCTTCACTTATGGAGTTAGTTCGATTTCCTCATTCCGATAATTTCACTTAAAGTACATGTGCAAGTTGCTTATACATGAAAATTTGTGATTGCCAATGTTTGCCATTTATTAAGTTGGTTTGTTTTGGTTTCCAATATAGCCACTGTTCATTTTTTTGCCTAAATTTTTTTTTGTTTTATGCTTTCTTCGATCATTATTTTGTTTTAGTTTCTCAAAAGACCTTTTGTTATGTTTTTCATATTGATTTGTTTCATTAGTTCTACTTTGATACGGATACTAATTCTCTTTTTTTTTTTACCAATTTGTTGTATGAACCTCCTCCGAGTTCATAACGGAGTTCTTTAGTTGCATTCTCATATTCGAGCCATGAAGGCTCAAAAATCTCTTGTCATCTTCGAGTGAGCCAGATTGTTGTTGTGTAAAGCAAAAAACCTTAAATGGAGGCTGGAAATGGAGCTTGCAAGCTCCAAAAAGCTAAAATAAGTGTTTGTATGCTGTTTATATAGCGATATATGGTCAAAACACCATGATACTTGTGTGGAAATCGATATTATAGGTGGAAATAAATAAAATCAAAGGTGTGCAGGTTGAATACAGAATATTGTGCTGAAAATTATTTTTTTGCAGCCCCAAAGGGCCTAAAACGCAGTGATATACCAGCTGGAATATAGCACAGATGGGTGCAAAAAGTGAAAATGCAGGTGAAACGTGCAGGGACATCGAATTCAAATAAAAGACAGGCTCGGAATTCCAAAAAACCAATATACGTGATGTATACGTCAAATATACACTTGGTGTATATCATGGAAATGGGGACAAAAAGGGCCTAAAGCTTAAAGAATTTTGGGCCCAAGTCCATTTGTGATAATTTTAGAATTAGGATAGGTGGTCTAAATGCCCAATTTAATGGAATTTGGGTAATTGATCCAAGTTCAAATACTCCCCTCATTTTCCCTCTTTATTTATGTATTATTAAATTGACTTAAACTTTGGTTGAATTTTACTAATTTCCTACAGATAAAATTTATATATATATATATATATATATATATATATATATATATATATATATATAGTTACTTTCCCCTAAAATATAGTTAATTAAAAATGAAAATGATAATAAGTAAATAAAAGAACTTTATTTTTTAGTCAAAACCTAATTTTTTTTTATGAAAAATCATTTTTAGTCAAATTGCCGGTCAACCGCGAGTTAGGGGGCAATCCGAGTGCCTAACACCTTCTCGGAATGTATATTTGAACTTCGAACCCTTTTCCATCGATTTTTATCTTTTTTAAAATTTTTTGAAAGTAAATTTTATGTCTTCTTGATTTTTACTAAAAAATCAAGTGGCGGCTCTGTTAATTTGAAAGATCGATTTTTCTTAAATCGTAAGATTTATTGATTTTTTCGAAACTTAGTCAGTTTTTTACTTTACATATATATTTTTAATAAAACAGAAATGGCCACTCCGCTGGGGATTAATTAAGTTCTAACCAAAAGGATTTGACTATTTTGACTAATTGCTATCATTAAATTGCTTATATGTGATTAATTTGTTTAAATTAGAAATTGGCATTGCATTTAATGGCATATTCTGTTATATATTATATAGTATATTAAAGGATGGTTTGCGAAATTGCAACCGGTTTTTTTTATACTCACCTTCTTCCAGAGTTAGAGGCAATTTATTGGTTTGTTATACGTCCAACGGTTGTTGCAAGTTTCAGCCCAAATTATCTGTTTGGGTTCCCGGTCTTTTTCAAAAGTCAATCCTAGTCAACTAGCGTAGAGCCGAACCAAAATCTCGAATTCAGGAGCATTTGAACTAGGACGATCCAACACCCAAGGCATGTTAGGCCCATTAGAAGACCACCATGAGTCCAAAACGGCTTACGGCCTAAACGAACGTTCATAGTTATGTGTTTAAATTTGAAGGATGCATATGTTGTTTGAAAAATCATTGTCTAGTGGGGTAAGAATTAGATCATAATTTATACTAGTTGAAGAAAGTTTCACAAGCTACTATCCCAAGACGTTGGCATCTGGAGACGATATATTCAACATCGAAGGTTTCATGGAAGCATAGTATAGGATTGTACCCCTGCGTGGGACTGATTTTGTATCCCGTTTTCCCCAATATGTATACCCATTCATCTTTATTTAAATTTGTATAAATTTGAGTTTTAGGGGAATGAAATATTTCAAATGACATATACATCCTTCAATTCGTTAGGCCTACCCTTGGCATAAAAGGGTCACAAGCATGATTAAGACGTGATATATGTGTGTTTAAATGCTTATGTGCTATGTTTTTATGAATGAAGATATCGGAAATCCACTCCTATCCAGAAATTTCCAGAAGAAATATACAGAAGTCACTACCACAAATGTCTGACCAAAACCGTCTGAGTCTTAAATTTCTCACTCAAAAGACAAATCTCATCTCCGAATCCTAAGCATTACTCTACTGTCTCAGAAAGGCAAAATTGCCGCTATGGACAAGGGAAAGGGTATCCAAGCAAAACCAAGTGAAGAAGAGAGGACCAATAGGCAGAAGCAGCGCAGAAAATGTTTATATGAATTATTATTTCCTCCTGAGATCCTCAAAGAGGAAATCAATGAAGAAAGTTACGAGGAGGAAAGTTATGAGGAGTTACTTGCCCGCCCACCTTCTTTCGAGGGACATCTGGCAAAGCAAAATTTCTCTTGAGGCATATCTGCATGAAGGCCGGAAGAAGATGAAGATCATCTCGTGCGCTCTCGTTTTTGAACACTATAGGTCTAAGGGCCTGCTAAGACCCGTTAAGAAAACGTCCCCCCAAGTGGGATTAAGAGATCTCCACAAGACATGTGAATGTCATTCCACGGAGAAAGGGCATACAATAGATGAGTGTATTGGGTTAAAAAACGCAGTCCGTTATTTATTCAGTATGGATAGTACTCCTAACACTTGGGGTGACGACGTCAATCTTGCATGTGATGAACCACGTCTTGACATACCGGTCACAGAGCGAATCAGATTCTTTCATTGCTCATTCACACCTTTCAAGAAAACAATGAGGGAAATCTACTTGGATTTGGTTCAAAATGGTTTCTTTACCCATTACTACAAGAATATGGACATGCAATACTCTATTCAGCACGAAATCCGAAAGTGTTGTCCCTAATATCATCACACCACAGACCACAACATTGAAAAAATGTCTCGACTTTTGCCACGACCTCGAATCCCTCATCAACATGAGAAAGATTCAAGTTGAGACCGTTCCCCGTGGATAAGATGAGGATGACGAAGAGAAGAAAGTGACTGAGATGGAGTCATTAGCATATCTTTAAAGCTTTGTTGTTTTTCCATTTCCTTGTAATCCCAACGAATGAATGAATGAAAATATTTCCCTTTTGTACTCGAATTATGTTGGGCCTGACTTCTCCTTGTGAGATACGTAGGCAGCCTTCCAAGTCCTGGCCCCTGTCTTTAAAAATTTTTATTCTCCCCCTTTATGTTACGAGAAGATATGACCATATCAACGGACGTCAAAGAGCAGATGCAAGAAGACCTTAGCTCAACGTGATTTAGCCTTTCTGAGACAATGTCAAAACTAAAACAAGCAAACTCCTGCTTGTTAAAAAATGTGTTTCTGTCCTTACTCGTGAGTTTAAGATATCCTCAAACAAAGAAACTTGTGTGTTTATCTGCTCTCTGTGTGATATTTTCTGTTTTGTATTTTGAATCTACACTGACAAACCTGCCTTTGAGTTATTTTCCTTCCTAGGTACTTTGAAACTTATCCGTGTCGATAAAAAGCTGGCAGATCATCCCTATCTCACTAGATCGAAAGGTCCCGCAGATTTCTTCCCTAGACAAAGCTCAGACGAAAGAAAGACAGTCATGGGAAACAGTAACGAAGAAGTAAGTCTTACCGACGTTGTGATGGCTCAACCCACCATAGAGAACCAGAATGAATTGATTCTGCAATTGATGAAGCAAATTGCTGAAATAAGAGTTGAAATGCAAAAGAGACAGGATCTGCCTCAGACAGGTTTTGCTGCTAACGTTGCTGAGGGGAGACCTCCAATCTACTTCCCATCTTAAAATATGGATCCAGCACAGAACCAACCATCTACACCTTCTCAGAATCCGTCGGTTATAGATTTGACTACCCAAAATCCCCAATATGCTTTCGCATCCTACCAAACTCTACCTACTCCTCAAAACACCCACCCCTAAATGTCACCCATCCTCAAAACACCCACCATCAAACCGCTCCACCATCACAAAATCAAAACCAAAATACTTTCGATCTCCAAACACCCCACCACCACTTAAATTAGAATACCAATCCTCAGACTTACCCACAGAATTATCAAACTGCTCAAAATGCCCAGAGTCCCTCCACAGCTCCACCCTTATCTAAAAGAACCACTTTCCAAATTCCCGTCCATGTTGAGCATGAAGTGCACAATTTTGAGCTAGACAAGTACGAGGAACAGGTAAGAGAATGGAGGGCAAAGGTAGAGGCAAAGGTCGATATAAAAGAAGAGATCAAGAAAGCCATGAAGGATCTTCAAAGTGTCCCTGATATCCCGGGCTTAGTTATGAAGACTTATGTATTCATCCAAATTTGGACCTTCTAGAAGGGTTCAAAATTCCAAAATTTGATACTTTCGGAGAAGTGGGGAACCCTATGGCTCCTTTGAGAGCCTACCGCGACAAGCTTGTTGGAGTTGGTAGGGATGAAACTTTATTGATGTGTCTCTTCAGCCAAAGCCCGTGCGGAGAAGCTCTTGAATGGTTTACCTTGCACGAAACCAGGCAATAGCCTAGCTGGAATGCATTGGCCAAAGATTTTATCGATCAATTCACTTACAACGTAGAAATTGTTCCAAATCGATATTGTTTGGATAAGAAGAAACAAAAATCAACCGAGAGTTATAGGGAGTTTACCTATAGGTGGAGAAAAGAAGCGGCAAGGGTAAAACCGCCCATGTCTGGAAAAAAATCATTGAAGATTTCATGCAGGTGCAAGAGTCCGAATATTACGACCGAATCATGCTGCTTGTGGGAGTGAAATTTGCCGAGATAGTCAAGATTGATGAGACTATCGAAGATGGTTTAAAATCAGGAAAGATAGCCCGTGTAGCCACATCGCCTGGATCTTCAGGGTTGTTGAAAAAGAAGAGAGAATACGTGGCTGTTGTTTCATATGAGGGCAAAAAAAACCCAAGAAGATCTTAGTACTCCCACTCCCAAGGTCGTTCTCGACCTTCTCAAAACTCTTATCAGGCTAGTCAGAAAAATAATCCACCTCCCATTTACCAAAGTCCATATCCCATTTACCAAAATCTACCTCCAATTTACCAAAATCCATCTCCCATATACAAAAACCATCCTTCATATTACGAAATTCCATCTCCTTATTATCAAGGTGTTGCTTCCAACTGCGCTAACGTGTAGTCGAGCTTTAGAGAACCCCCTCTTCTTTATCAAGTCCAAGCTCCACTATACCAAAATCCCCATCCGAATTATCAAGCTCCATCGCCAAACTACAAAACAAATCCATATCCTAGAAGCCAAGTTCCCCGTCCAAATACAAGAAGTTATCAACAGGTGCCTCCTCCCCAACAAGGCAGTTATGATCCTCCTTGACCCAGATTAGGGAAGAAGCCTTAAAGGAACTTCACTACGCTCGCTGAAAGACGAACAAAGGTGTACGAGCGACTGACTACGACCGGGTATATCCATCTAATGAGGCCCAAACCGGTGGATACCAGTTCTAAGATCTATTGGCCTGATCAAAGGTGTGCTTATCATTCCAACAGTATTGGACATGATACTGAAGATTGTATTAACCTTAAGCATAAGAATCAAGATCTGATCGACCAAGAGGTGGTCTCTATTCAAACAGCCGTGCCTAATGTCAACACCAACCCTTTGTCGAATCATGGAGGCGTCAATATCAACATGATAGAGACATACGATGATTGATGTGTGACTAAGGTGATAAC